GTGAAATTTTTAACTGTTTTCCAATGTTTGAACTATTTTTGCATAGACTAAAGTGCAAAGCAATGAGAATCATTAATAAGCAATCGTTCAGTGGGCTGGATTGCAAAGACGCGTGATCGCACCGGCTAGTCTGGTGCGCACTGTTATTTATTTTACTGGCAGCCACGCAATTCTGGATTTTTTAGCAATCACTTCTCGAAAATTAACTTGTTCGGATTTTTTTTTTTTGAAAATTTTGATAGTTTTACATTTTCCGGTTGACTTTTTTAACGATGCATTGGTTAATTTTTGCGTTTTTCTGTCTTAACTTCTTTTCCGAGAGCATAAGATAGTGTGCGCGAAGAGCATATGTAAACCGCGCCAAGAAAGACCCCCAGTTTTTCCCTCTTCGTAACTGGATAACTCAGCAATTTAGGGAATAATTCTTTCGTGAAGGTCATTTGGCTAGGTTTATGTTACCCAAAACTGGTTTTTTCCCCCGCAGCAACAGCTAGACACTTCCAAGTTTTCAGCAAAAATTTTTGTAATAATAGATTGAAATTACAGATATGGAATTGGCAAGTGTCTCCAGTATCACCACTTCCGATAGTGACTTCTGCCAACCGCCGATACCCATTGCGCGCGGTGCAAACCGCAATTGGATCAGCAGACCTACCCTCAACAGGTTTTCATCTTTTCCCGTTAAACGCCTATTTGTTAGATTTTTTGAGTATGACATTCTATAAAAAAGTGCTTTACCATAAAAATCATTCGTTTTGAAACTCACGATGCCATTGAAACACAGCTAAGCAAGCATCAGCACTTCACATAAAATTTATTTTACCCATACAGTCTACCCATATATTGCCCATAAAGTATGTATTTTACATGTATTGCCAGCAATCTAAATCGTTAATCCAATTTTTCTGTGTTGTTCTGGACTGTTTGGCCTTCCGCTACTACTTGTCCTTACTCCCAGGATATCTCGGACAGCTCTTACTTCATAGCCTAATTCTCCAATTTACTATATATAGTCTGATCCTTTAACAATGCCAAACAAAAAATACATATATTAAGACAGAAAATTTCAGGTCCTCGTCTTCTTCCAATCTCCTAGCCAGGGATATTCATTGTTTGTGTCTTTAAAATTTTTGAAATACTTTGAATCTAGCAACTTTTCTTAAAATGCTATTTTCACTGCTTATTCCAAAAAATTACTCTAAAACTTCAATAATTCCAGAAATTCAAAATAACAAAATTAGTTCTGCTTTTTAGGTTACGAAGAAATCAGGGGCCATCTAAAGCGGAAACTCGGTCGCATTATGCATCGATGTATGCGATGATGGCGCCAAATGATTGCTCGTCGTCATTTGAAGCAGAAACCACTAATGAAGAAGATGATGATTTGGAATTTGCCGATCGAAATCATCGTTCCCATGCCCCACTGATCCGAGGCCTAAGCATGATCGAGGTTATACACAGTTTTTTCGTTGTGAGAATCATCGGGCAAGTTGGCGATTATTGGTGATGAATTTTCGTGTTCAAAACTACATCGTCACTGCATCGGTGACACAAAAATCATGCTGCAGTGAAAAGACGGCTTAGGGTTAACGTGTTAAAAAACAGAAATGGCTTCCGGGAGATACTGAGAGGAACATTCAGTCGGGTAGAATTCCTGCTATTAGCAGTCTGCGAGTTTAGTGCGAAAACACATTGTCGCACTGACAAGCCTGGTACGTTCCAGCCTGAGTTAACAAACTGAAAATACCAAATAACGCTCGCAGACGAATTCATCCAGAAAAAACAAGTATAAGACTGAAGTGCTCAAAATTCAGCACACATTAAATGAAGTAGTGAAGAATAAAAATGTTACTTCTCGCAAACCTCATAAAGAGAGAATGGCCACCGGGCAGTCTCCTAAAACCAAACTTCACGGAAGCCCAGTTGTTCGAGTTCACTGTCACCCAAACATCCAGAAATTCTATTAAATTTATGACTTATGAGCAAAAATAGAGTCGGATTTTGCCCTTGACCACCGGGCAAACTCCTAAAACTAAACTTCACGGAAGCCTAACTGATGGAGCTCACCATCCCCAAACATCGAGAAATTCTATTAAATTTACAACTTATGAACAAAAAAAGAGTCAAATTTTGCCCTCAAACTCTCGGATATCTGGTAAAACTATTGATTTCACTTGCGGTAATATTTTACTTCATTTTACATACTATACCTGTTCTCATGTAACTAATTTTAACACAGTTTAAGGTAACTAATTAAAATTAAATTCACACCAATTACCACAATCGTTGTACTGATGAGGCCCAATTGCGGTAATGGTAAGAAATGTGTACGAATTAATGGACCGAAACATTTCTTACCATTATAATATTTTTATTAAAATATTTTACCAGTTCTACTAATTTCTTAATATTATTTGCTTTTGCCTCTTTCTTCCAACTTTAAAATATTTTCCGATTATAGTTTGGTTCTCCTGCTGTGGAGCTGATAACTTTCCCAACTACTTTGACCAATGCTGCGTTGCCTGGTGCTCAGCCTGCCAGCGTTTTTGACACATTTTTTGTTTTTTGAAGGGATTAATACCTCGACAAAAATTGTTGCAACTATGGATAAATCTACCCGTTTTTATTTGATATTTTTGGGCAAATCTACCCGCCTTACTTATAAGCCCGATTGGTCTTTCTTCAGGAATTATCGCCGATCGTTGATTCGAGTGATGAGATGATTCCAAAAGTGCCCTCACTGCAGCTGACAAGAAATTGGCATCCGCTGGCTACCTCAACCACAACCTCAATGCATCAAGTTGGCTTACCCAAGACTAATCCTCATCATTCGAAGGTTATTTAAATAATATCGTTTTTTTTTTCATAATGATAATTTCATGTTGGTAAAAGCGCCATTAACTTGCTTTCAAGGAGCCCTCAAAAAAGTGGACCACTGACCACCTTGTCAGCTGGTGGTTGCTGCTTTCGGCAAAGCGCTATAATTCGGCTTACTCGGCTTTTATAAAGGGCGGTGTGTAGAGGAAGTTTGGTTTAAATAAGTTTGGTCTAAATTTCGATCTAAAGGCTAGTGAATTCGTAACTCTGCGTGGTCCACTTGGGGCCTTTTAACGACACACAAGATGAACAAGATTACCATCAAACTGACCACTAAATAATGAAAATGGCATCGGTCAAAACAACTGGAAAAGATGCCAGCTTAGAATTTGGAAAGACTCTAATCAATGAGAATTCGTTTCAAAATTTTCCAATTATCACGATAAAAAAAAATCTTATATTTTCAGATGATTGCTACATCAACACCAACATCTTCAGCAGCAGCAATAGGCATGCGTTATCGTGGTCCATTATCAAACGTTTATAATAATGATAATAATAATTCATACGATGCGCTGGAGCGACCAGAAAGTTTCTTCGAAAATGTACTTTTTTACGATTCTAGCGGTAGTGAATGTACCTTAGTGGTGGCCAAACTTTTCTTATGAAATAATCTCTGGGGTGATAAAAAAGCCGGTTGTGATACCAGCACGGGCTTCTTTTTTGCCGTTTTTTCAAGAGTACTACTAAGTATTGTAGAAACTTTAAAGATACAAGCAGTGAATATTCATGGCAAGGAGACTGGAACAGAACAGGGGCCTGAAATCTTCTACGTGTTAACATAAGCAGTTTGTTTGGCATTATTAACCCACCGTTGAGAAGAACACAATCGAATTTGACAATTAATGAAAAACTGGAAGTGTTATCATTTAGATCTACTAAATTTTTCACTGTTTTGTACTTTTTGAACTCAAAAATTTCAACTGCCCTGAATAAAAGCATTTTTGTAGACACCTCGTTTGGAATGGAGTCGGCCGCAGTCCAAAATTTTGTCCACTGCTGGTGGCTTTCCGAATACGAATTGGAAATCGGATCATTTCGGACTTCCGGCACCGTTTGCTCGAAGAATCGGCTGCAAAGGCAAGCTACAGCTCACGATGTCCGTTTCGGGATGCCTTTTGACGGTCAGCGTTGTGCAAGCTGTTTATTTCCTGGATCCGACAATCACACAAGCATCATCCTATGTTCGGGTTAGTTCTCTTCCCAGTTCGTATTTTTCAACTTTTTCCTCCAAAATTAATCATTTTTATGCGTTTTTTGCAGCAATGCAATGCGTAAAACGCATATTGACGAGAGGTTGTCTGTGTGT